CCTACGGCTTTCCCAGGGCCCTTCTTCCACGGGCCTCACGGTGGCGCCAGAGAGCAAACGGTGGCTCCCAGGGCCTGGCGTTTAAAACTCCTTTCTTTGGGGCATTTCTCCAAGTTGAAAATGCACGCGAACCACCGGCGTATTTTGTTAAAATGCAACACCTGATTCGGTTGGTCTGAGGAGGAGGCGAGAATGTTCGCTTCTAACAAGTTCCCAGGGGATATCTGGGCTCGGGACTGGGGGATGGGGTTGGGGGGTGGGGGGGCTCTGGAAGTGAGGGGAGAGTGAGATTACCGTCAGCAAAGAATCCTCCTCTCTCCGGGACTGCCCCCCTTAAAACTCCCACCCAGGAATCCGTCCTCTCTCTCACGCTCTGACCCCTCACCCCCGCCCCAGTTTCTCTTTCCACCTTCCTAAGTCCTTCAGAACGTCTCTCCATGGTTCTCAGTCTCTCTCACTCTTTTTAAAACTCCCCCAAAATGCAAGCTCTCTCTCTCTCTTTAAGTGTGAGACTGCCTTTACATCGCTTCTAGTCTCTCTTTCTTTAATGCTCTCAGTCTCTCTCTTCCCTCCTCCATACTCCCCCCCCTCCCCCTCCCTCCCTCTCCCCCAGCAGCTTCCGCCGTCCCGCCCTCTGGCCCTGGGTCCCTAGAAGTGCTTCTGTTGGCTCCAGTGCATTGTGGTTTCAGGCAGAGGCTCAGGACTCCTACTGTGCTGATTCACAGCCCGCTCTGCCCTTCCTAGCTGCAGAGATGGAGCTAAGTCCTCCCAACCCCGCTGCCCCTCAGCCTCCTGACGGGCTGAGAGCCTCCTTGTTGAGAACTGTCAGGACTTGGAGAGATGAGGTGTCTGGCACTCAATAAATGGTAACTGTCATCATTATGATGATGATTACCAATAAAAGGTAACCCACAGCCAGCCTCTTGGTAGCCAACAATTAGACACTCATCTGGTGTGTGGAATGCATGTGGAAAATACTCCCACTGACAAAACTGGGCCACTCCCTGACCTCAGTTTCCAGCCAGGATCAACCACCCTAACAGCGAGGACACCGGGTGGAGGACACACAAGTTTTCTGAGTCACACCCCATGCATGACACTTATCGCCCTTACTTGGGGCCTCTCTGAGATTCTGAGCCAATTCTGTGCATTTGGGGCTGGGGGTGGGGGTGGGGATTGAAATCGAGTGAGAATCAGCCACATGTGAGAATCAGCCCGAGCTGGATTAGATTAGGTGTTCATTTAATAAATCAGGGATATAAAATAATATCAGGAGGTGATCACAGGGAACTGCAACACACGACACATAATGCACAACACACCCACACAGCTTCCCTAACCCTGCATGGGGGCCCAGTCCTAGGACATAGGCCTTGCAAAGTGTGGCTTGAAAATTTTACAAGCTTATGGTTCTCCCCCCCCTTTTAAAAATTGATTTTAGAGAGGGAGGAAGGGAGAGAGGGAGGCAGAGAGAGAGAAACATCAACATGAGAGGGCTACATGGATTGCTTGCTTCCCCAGGGGAATGAACCCACAACCTAGGTATGTGCCCTGACTGGGAATCAAACCCATGACCTTCTGGTGCACGGGAGGATACTCCAACGAACTGAGCTACACCAGCCCAGCAACAAGCTAGTGCTTTTACTCCCTCTAGGCCTTAGGTTCAGAGGTCGAATATCATATGCATCATTATTATTACTGGTTTATTCAGAATCCTTCTTTTCTTTACCTTCCCTTCCTCCTTCTCTCCCTCTTTCCTTCTTCCCACTCTCCCCCAGTCTCACAAAATGTGTAGTGTGGTTCTGAGGGCCTGTAATTTTAATTTATGTAATTGGCATTAGATGATGTATTTCTTATTCTAAGTCACTTCTCAAAAAATGCTGTGTGTTAAAGATCCATCCACGTTGCTATGTTTGTGCATCTACCCCATGGTATCAAACTCCATGGTGATGCCCACACATTTGCCCAACAACTGCCCCAGGGATGGGGACAGATGGCTGCCAGCTCCCAGCCACCACAAAGCAAGCACACTGCCAGGCTCGTCCTCGGAAGTGTTTCCTCGTGGTTGTGTAAGAAGTTCTTTGGGAAGTATAGCCAGGAGACAGATTGCTGAGTCACAGGGTGAGAGTCATCATTTAACGTAAATCAGAGGCACCACACTCACCCCAGTGGCACCTAAACAGTCTAACACCTGTGTATCCCTGACCACACTTGACACTGTATCTCTGCAAGTTTCCCCGCCTGTCTGGTGCAAAGTGATCTCTCCTCGTTTCCGTCACATTTCCCCGCCCATGAACGTGTTTGCACCTCGCTGCCTGCGCTAGCTTTCGGGGTTCTGCTTCTGCACGTCGCCTGTTCATATCCTCTACCCACTTCCCCACAAGGGTGTCCACCCTTTTAAAAAAATTTTATTCATTCACAGATGCTTCTTGCATCTTATAGGTTCTAGTCTCTTATCTGTTTTTCACATGACCAGTGACTTCTCCCTTTCTGACAAATGCCTATTACCCTCCTTTAACCCCAACTCTTAATTAAAAAAAAAAATTACTTTTATTGTTGGCAGTATTACTGATGTTCCCCATACCCCCACTCTGTCCCCCTCCACCAGGCGCCCATCCCACCCCGGGTCTTTACCACACTATTGTCTGTGTCCATGGGGTATGCATATATGCAAATACATCTTTGGTTAATCTCTTCCCTTTCTCCCCATTGCACTCCCCTCTGAGATCTATCAGTCTGTTCCATGCTTCCATGTCTCTGGACCTATTTTGTTCATCAGTTAATTTTGTTCATTAGATTCCACATATAAGTGAGATCATGTGATATTTGCTTATTTCTGACTGGCTTATTTCATTTAGCATAATAATCTCCAGGTCCATCCATAATGAGGAAAAGGGTAGGAGATCCTTCTTTTTTACAGCTGCGTAGTATTCCATTGTGTAAATGTACCACAGCTTTTTTATCCACTCATCTACTTAGGCTGTTTCCAGATCTTGGCTATTGTAAATACCGCTGCTATGAACGTAGGAGTGCATATATTCTTTCTGATTGGTGGTTTCGAGATTTTTTTAGGATATATTTCCACAAGTGGGATTGCTGGGTTATAAGGCAGTTTCGTTTTTAATTGTTTTGAGGAAACTCCATACTGTTTCTGACAATAGCTGCACCAGGCTGCATTCCCACCAGCAGTGCACTAGGGTTCTCAACTCTTAATTTTGACATAATCAAACCAATCATTCTTTGGTCCTAGGATTGTGCTTTTGAAGCCCTGAGAGTCATTCCCTGTCACAGAGATACAAATATATCTTCCTTGATTTTCTTCCATTAAGTTTATAGTGTATCTTTTACACACTGACCTTTTTTTTGTGTGTGGTACGTGCCCCTAGTAGGAACCGAACCCGGGACTCTCTGGTCTGCAGGTCGACACTCAACTGCTGAGCCAAACTGGCCAGGGCTACACATTGACCTTTAATATAACTTCATGGGTGGTATTACAAAGGAATCTAGGTTTATTCACTTATTCAAAATGTTTATTATTTCACATTTATATATATTTTTTCAATTATAGTTGACATTCAATATTATTTTACACTAGTTTCAGGTGTACAGCATAGTGATTAGACATTTATGTCATTTACAAAGTATTCACCCCAATAAGTCTCCCCACCTGGCACCATACACTTATTCCAATATTATTGACTATACTCCCTAGGTTTATTTTTCTCTACCCAGGAAGCCAGTTTTCCCTGCACCATGTACTAAGCACACTCTTCTTTCATTCGTCTGGGTTACAATTTTATCAGATTTTGTATAAATTACATAATATTATATTGAGTTCTATTGGGTCTCTTTCTGAGCTCCTTTTTCTTAAATCCTCACTCAAGGATATGTTGCTGTTGTTGTTTTTAGGGAGAGAGAAACATTGATTGATTGCCTCCCGGACTAGGGATCAAACCTGAAACTCAGGTATGTGCCTTGACTGGAAATTGAACCAACCACCTTTGGTGTATGGGACACTCTCCAACCAACTGAGCCGCCCAGCCAGGGCCTGAGCTCCTTCTTCTGTATCATCAATCCAGTTGTTTGTTCTTGCGTTAACACAATACTCTTCAAAAAAAAAACACCTGAATCGTGTTTGGTAGTATGTCTTAATGCCTAGTAGGTCAAGGAGCATATTTCTTGCTGCGCCACAGCCCTGTTCTCTCCCCACTTCCATCGCCGTGCAAGAAATGCACAGACCCTCTCCACCCTTAGTAGAAACTCCTTACAGACCTCTGTCCCCTCCTGGCTCCGGAGTCGGCCTCCCTCCTGGGAAAGACACACACAGGAAGAGAAAGTCAACCCACCCGGGGAAAATGTGCGCAAAGTCTCAGCTCAGCTTTACGTGGCTAGAAACTGGATTTCCCCATCATCTCCTCTGTCTGCATCAGCACCCTGAAAACCAACTACTGCAGCTCAGATCCTGGAGGGTTTGCTCTGCTTCCAGACCCGATGTTGGGAGTCCACGCTGCGAGCAGGTGCTTCGAGCACGTCACCGCAGTGCAGGCTTTGTGGTCCCATCTTTATCCTGCGGCTTTTCATCTTCAGGGTGCAGAGTGCCTGTCTGGTCCACCTCCGGGCAGCCGCATTCCAGGTGAGAAGGGGGAGGTCCAATCAGAAGCCCACCCTTTCGTCAGCCAAACAAAAACTTCCCAGGAAAACCCACCCACTGGGTTTCAGCTTATATCTTACTGCTGAGAACCAGCTCGCGTGGTTGCCCAGGTGTAGAGTGAGTATCTTTATCTGGGTCACCTGCCACCCTGAGTAATAGTTGGCCCAAGAGGGAGAGATGTGTCCATTGTGGAGGGAGGGAGACCCTGGAAACTCAGGAGGCTGGAGGTCAACCTCCTCAGCATCCTGGAGAAAGAATGGGGGTGGGGTCTGGAAGGAGCATCAGGTCCCTGCAGGGGTGAGGACTTGCAGGGGGTGAGGGACAGCAGAATGCTGGGTCCCGGGATGGCTCATGAGTTGGCGCGGATGGTGTCCTGGATCCACTTGGTGAACTTGCAGAGGTTGGTATAGACACCGGGTTTGTTGGGCTGAGCGCAGGGAAAGTCTCCCCAGGATACGAGGCCCTGTAGGGTGCCGTTGCAGACCACGGGGCCCCCAGAATCACCCTGCAGGGGAGAAAGGACAGCGCAGAGAGAAACAGAGGTGTGAGGAGGTGGCGAGAGGGAGACACACAAACGAAGGAGCAGGGCAGCAAGAGATAGACACACAGAAAGGGAGAATGTGGACAGAGGAAGAGACAGAGATAAAGGGGTGGGGGTGGGGGGCAGAAAGAGACAGAGAAAATGTTAACATTTCACCCTACATCCAACTTTTGTCCCTCTGTACCCAACCCCAATCTCTTCACCGTCTGTTTCTCTCATAGATTCTCCCCTTCCTTGACACCAATTCGTTTTGTACTTAGACATCACTTTTGCTGAGAGACCGTCCTCGGCCCCTGGAAGACAGTTTGACATTGGGGCCGGTAATTCTTTGCAGTGAGAGGCTGAGCCGTGTATCGCGAGATGTTTAGCAGCATCCCTGGCCTCTGCCCACTAGCTACCAGTAACTGCCCTCCTGTCTCTCCCCACTGTCTCCTGCACAGTTGTGATAACCAAAACACCCCCAGGCATTGCCAGGTCCCCTGGGGTGCAGACTAAGCCCCCGTAAAAAAAAAAGTGTGAATGAAAAGGGGCTATCTGGCAAGTCTGACAAGCTCAGCAACGGGAAGTAACCACACAGATGGTCTGATCATGAAAAAAAAATCCGAATTGAGTAGGTCATTGCAGGAAGTTGTTTTCTATAGGACGGGTTTAGCCTTTACCTTGAGCAAGCCCTGCTCCTTGTTTTTGTGTATCTTGAATAATAACATATTTTAAATGTTTTTTTTTTTTTTTTTTTTTTTTATCTTCACCCGAGGACATTTTTCCATTTTTTGTTCAGGTAGAGTGGGAGGGAGAGAGAGAAACAGAGAGAGAGAAACATCGATGTGAAAGGGACACATCGAGTGGCTGCCACCCGCACAACCGACCAGGGCCGGGGACAAACTGCAACCGAGGTACGTGCCCTTAGCGGGAACCGAACCCGGGTCTCTCAGGACCGCAGGCCGACGCTCTAACCGCTGAACCAAACTGGCCAGGGCACATATTTTAAATGTTTGAATGAACTCCAGATCCGCAGAGATGAATAACCTGATACTGGGAAGAGACGACCCCAACGCGCCTCCTTGTTCTTTTACCCACCTAGCTCGGCAACTGCGTATCTGAGATGATAATTAGCCTGCATCCAGATGTAAAAGAAACATCTCTCTCTCCGTGTTACTTTGTATCCAATTCTAGGGATCCCCAGCCCTTTGCTTTCTCCCACTTCCTTAATCTACCACCAATGGATATCATGCAACCTTCTTTACATCGTCCCCCTTGATTCTAATAATAAAATAAATGACCAGACCGCCGTTCCCCGGAGCATTCTCTCAGTCTTTTGGGATTTTGCTTCTGGGTCTGTCTCACATAAACGTTTCAAACCTGTCTTGAGGTTTGAAACTTCTTTCATGGACAGAACTGGCCCCTTGGGCTAATTTGGGTCGCTGATCCTTGATTCTCCACAGCTCCCTGTAACTACCCTCCTGCAGTTGCCACTCTTCACTGCAGTTTATTATTTATGTTTATGCACAATATGAACACGGACACAGAGCCTGGTGTCAATTATAAGAAGGCCTAAGGTCGGGCTTCTTTCTGCATTAGCAGGCACCATCTTAAAGCAAAATAGTCTCGCTCCCTGGACCTCTAAATTTCAACTCTCTCATGGCTTAATCTTTCCCACTATTTTTAGTTCATTCAATATTTCTGCAGAGTTTCTCTGGAGAGGCTGTTAGTTAAGTGCACTGAGACTTGGCTCCTTGTCTGTAAAGTAGAGCTAATAATAACAGCACTAAAATAAGCTAATCAGCTGATGTATGTGAACGACTTATAACAGTGTCCAGCAATTAGCCACTATCATTATTATCCCAGTTATATTAACATTGTTGTTGTTATTATTTCTTGCTTTTAATGGTCAAGCCCACATGCTGGTGTGAAAAAGCAACTTGTAGTCTGGAAAACAAAACAAAACAAAAAAACATAACAAACCCCCCGAAAAACAAAACATCCAAAACACAAGGTATTTAAGCTTGGCTGGAGAAAGGCTAAATGGTTTAAAATGCTGGCATTCAAAGTAGATGTGTTTTTGTCTGATAACCCCCAATCCCACCCCCAGATATGTGTGCTTCCACTGGTGAGTGGGAACCGATTTGAAATTGGGAGACCTGGGAAGCTGTTGCAATGGTCAGGTTTGAAAAAATTTTGGGGGGTGTGTGGTTAAGAGCTTGATCATTTATATCCCACTAGAACCCTTGGGGGCCTGAATACAGTTTAATTTTAATTTTTGTCATCCTCAATAGATATATGGCTTCCATGAGAACATAGAGAAGCTCTGTGCTGGGGAATCAAGAAATATTGTTGAACATTGACTCCCATCCATCTCTGTGCCTCAACTCCTACTGGTCCCCATCATTCCTCCAAACACTGTCCCCGAACACACTGGCTTCTTTCTGTTCTTTGAATCAGCCGGATTCTTCCCTGCCTCAGGGCCTTTGCACATGCTTCACTTGCTCTTTAACTTTTGAAAGCTGGCTCCTTAGTGTCATTCGGTCCCTACTCAAATGCCACCCCTTCAGGAGGCAGGCCCGCCCAACCACTGTTTTGAAAATTGTCCCCATCACTTGCTCTCATAAAATTATGTTTTATTTTTCGTATAGCCCTGAACCAGTCTCTGAAATTACCCTATTTATGCAGTTTCTTAGCCATTTTTTTTTTTACCTTTTTGCTCCTCTAACCCTTTCAACAACAAGTTTATTATCAATCTTCTATATAAAACATTCTTATTTTAAAAATATTTTTTATTTTATTTTTTTATAGAAAGAGGAAGGGAAGAGAGAGAAATAGCAATGTGAAAGTGAAACATCGATCAATCAGCTGTCTCCTGCACACCCCCTATGGGGGATCAAGCCTGCAACTGGGACATGTGCCCTCACTGGGAATCGAACCAGCACCCTTTCTGTGCATGGGACGATACCCAACCAACTGAGCCTCACTGACCAGGACAAATATTCTTCTTCTTTTCTTCCTCCTCCTTTTTTACCCCCTCCTCTTCTTCCTCCTCCTGCTCCCCCTGCCCCTTCCCCTTCTCCTGTTGTTGTTGCTCTTCTTCTTTTCAAACTACCTAGGATGGGTTTCTGTTTTTTTGCAAGACATCTTACTAGCACTTGTCAAAAAACTTTCATGCTACAAATTGTATGGGAACAAGACACTTAACTGCCATCTGCTTGAAATTTGCCGAAATAAATCGGCAACGCTGTGATGTCTATCACGTGAAGGGAGCCCCTTCAGATTTGACCTCCTATGCAGCGCACAACTTGTCCAGCCACATGGCGTAGCTCCGTCTTCTCTCTGGGTCTGTGTTGTCTTACGCAGTAGCCACGAGCCACAGGGGCCGTGGAGCACGTGAAATGTGGCTAGCCCAAACTGAGACATGCTGAAAAACTACGCACACATTGCCTGCCCTGGCTGGGTTGCTCAGGTGGTTGGAGTGTTGGTCGGTACACCGAAAGGTGGTGGGTTCGATTCCTGATCGGGGCCCACACCTAGGTTTCGGGTTTGATCCCTAGTCAGGGAGCATATGGGAGGCAACTGATTGATGCTTCTCTCTTCCTCCCTTCCTTTCTCTCTAAAAATCAATAAAAACCTATCCTCAGGTGAGGATTAAAAAAAAAAATATACACACTGGCTTTCAAAGACTTACTATTAAAAAAAAAAGAATGGCCTGGACAGTGTGGCTCAGTGGTTGTGCATCAGTCCATGCACCAAGAGGTCGCCAGTTCAATTCCTAGTCAGGGCACATGCCCAGGTTGTGGGCCCAATCCCTAGTGGGGGGCATGCAGGAGGTGGCCAATTGATGCTCTCTCTCATCGATGTTTCTATTTCTCTCCCTCTCCCTTCCTCTCTCTCTACAAAATCAATAAAGAAAACAAACAAATAAATAAACTAGCCCCATCTCTGCCTACTTGATGTATTTCATTGTACTTTCTGACCTTTAAAAAAGAAGTAAAATATCTCATTTACAATTGTTTTATATTAATTACATTTTGAAATGATGGTACTGAGATACACTGGGTTAAATATAATAGACAGGGTGGGCAAAAGTAGGTTTATAGTTGTGAGTATGCAAAACCGTTTATTCTTGTACTATTATTTATTGTGGTATTTCCCATAAGAACAGCTGTAAAACTCCTTTTGCCCACCTCTGTATTATTAAGATAGTTAATTTCACCTGTTTCTTTTTCTTTTCTTTTTTTTTAAAATATTGCTACTGGAAAAATTTTAAATTACGTGTACCCCTCCCATTATTATATTTCTACTGAACAGTACTGTTCACAGTATGAGCTTTGTGTCCTAACAGATTTGGTCATCGCTGGATTCTCAGCACTGAGCCAGGTGCCAGGTTCCAGAGTCAGTACTTAGTACGTATCTGCTGAGTGAATGGGGACATCTCAGTTCTTACCTGGCAGGAGTCTCTGCCTGCTTCGTCGCCAGCACAGAACATGGTGGCATCTATCTGTCCTGGGTAGGCCTCCTTGCACCTTTCGTGACTGAGCACGGTGATGTTCAAGCACTGGAGGACCTTGGGGAAGTTCACTGTCAAACAGAGACATGCAGAGTGGGATCACCGTGAGTGGCGAAGACAGGGAGGGGCAGAGTACTCAGACAGAGACAGGGAGAAGACAGGCACGGGTGAGCATCAGAGGGACCTGGAGCCCTGGCCGGTGTAGTTCAGTGGTTAGAGCATTGGCTCGTGCATCAAAGGGACACAGGTTCAATTCCTGGTGAAAGGCACGTGCCTGGGTTGCAGGTTCGATCCTTGGCCCCAGTTGGGGTGCCTGCAGGAGGCAACCAATTGATGTGTCTCTCTCACGTCGATGTCTAGATATCTCTCTCTCTCTCTCACTCTCTCTCTCTCTCTCTCTCTCTCACTCACTCCCTTCCACTCTATCTAAAAATCAATGGAAAAAAATATCCTCGGGTGAGGATTAACAACAACAACAACAACAACAACAACAACAAAATATTCTCCAGTGATGACAAAACAAAACAAAACAAACATAAAAGAGGGACCTGGAGCCCTGGCCAGTGTATGGGAAGCGATTGATATTTCTCTCTCACATCAATGTTTCTCTCTCTCTCTCCCACTCTCCTTTCACCTTCCTCTCTCTCTATTTTTTTTTATCCTCACCCGAGGACATTTTTCGATATTTTGTTCAGATTGAGTGGGAGAGAGAGAGAGAGAGAAACATCGATGTGAAAGTGACACATCGAGTGGCTGCCACCCACACGACCCAACCAGGGCTGGGGACAAACTGCAACCAAGGTACATGCCCTTAGTGGGAACCGAACCCGGGTCTCTCCAGACCGCAGGCCGACGCTCTAACCGCTGAGCCAAACCCGCCAGGGCTCCTCTCTCTCTAGACCTGGACACTCACCTTGGGGACTGCTGGTTGTTCCCCAGCCGGACACCAAGCAGCTGGTCCCAACACTTGGACAGTGGGAGGAGATGTTGACAGGCCTGACATTCTGACTATCGAGGATTCTTCGGTTCAGTTTGATGAGCATCAGATCATTGGAGTGGCCGGGGTGGGAGAAGCCAGGGTGGGGGATGGATTTGATCCCTTGGAACAGCTGCTGCCCATGTTCATATGCGGGTGACAGGGAATGGTGGCCGAGACGGATTTTGAAAAGTCTGAGGAAGATGGTGCAGATCACCACTAACCCTGATCCCTACCCCCATAGCCAATGCCTAGTCCCAACCCCAATGCAACCTACCCTTAACCCCAGGCCCAACATCATCTTTATCTCCAACCCCATGCCTATCCCCACCTCAACCACATCTCCAGTTCATCACCACTCCACCCCCAACCCCCACCTGGATCCTTTCCCCATACTGAAACCACCCACAGATGCATCCTTAACCCCACATTTAACCATCCTCAACCTCAAATCCAACCACCTCCAACCCCACCCATAACTCTAATCCCAACCCTATCTCCACTCCCACATGTATTCCCCATATTGCAACTCCATCCCAGTCCCCACCCCCTTCCAGTTCTAGAGCCAACCCTAATTCTATCTCCATCCCAGACCATCAGCGGGTGCATGCCTGTCCCCATTCCCAACCTCAAACCCAACTCTAACCCCATCTTTAATCCCTTGCCCACCCCCAAACCATCAACGTATGCACTGCTAACCCCATCCCCACCCACAACCCTCTCCCCAGCTTAACCCTGTGCGCACCCCCTCTGTTCCCCAACTCCATCTTTAATCCCACCCCCAACTCTACCTCCTCTTGCTCCACCATCGTCCCCAACTCATCTCCCGCCAACCTCTCCTCCCTGCCCCCTCCGCACCCCGCTTCCTCCAGTCCTGTTCAGCCCCCCTCAAGGAGCCCCCACTCACTTCTTCCGGCAGTGGGCGGCGGTGAGTAGCCAACGTGGGTCCACCAACACCGCCCCACAGTAGAGCTGGTTGGGTTTTAGCAGCAGCGCCGCCTGCCACGGCTGGGAGTTCCGGTCGCAGTCGGTCCCATTGACAATGCGGCTGCTATCGTTCTCCCGGGTGCCCTCTCTGGCCCCAGCTTCGAGGTGCTGGGTGCTCCCAGAGGTCTCCACGGCAGGGGAGTTGTCGCAGGAAGCTCCGTTATTTGCAAGAACAGGCTCTGGGTGCAGAAAACAGGCGGGAAGGCACTCGGGGGTGGAGTTTGGACTCAGAGGGTGGGTGTTAGACCAGCCAGGGGATGTCTGATTTCTGAAGGGCCTTTATATAGAAGGAGCAGGGCCAGGGATTTAGGGGCGGGCCAGGGCTCTGGAGGTGGAGCTTGGAGAATAAGTGCAACCGCTGGGAGGGGGCGAGGTTTAGAATTCAAGGGCAGTGTCCAAGCTCAGTTGGTGAGACTGAACTCTACCTGGATCTCAAGATTCTTAGGAGTGGTTAGAGCTTAGTGGGTGGAACCTGGGAGGGTAAAATTGGACAACATCAGGGGTGGAGCCAAGGGTCAGGGGGTGGAGACTGGGGATAGGCCAGAGAACAGGGCTCGAAGGGTAGGACCTAGTTTCGAGAGAAATGTTGTCAGGTCTCAGGGAATGGGGTCAAGGCTGGAGGCGCAGAGGTCAGAGCCTGGATGTGGGAGGGGCTTGGAACCTCTTAGGTAGGGCCAAGGCCAGGGTCACATGGGGGAGTCATTCTATAAAGAGCCCTGAATTTGGGAGCGGAGGTGGGGCTGGGTTCTAGGAATTGAGGGTAGGAGGTGAAGTCTGGCAAAAAGGGGGAGAGTCTTAGAGGTTGACTAGGGTGGGCACAACGCAAGGGTCTCTGACCACAGATGTAGTCTGCACTCGAGGGGTGGTTGAGGAAAAGGGTCCGAGTTGGAGCAAGCAGGACCAGGAAGCCAGCTCAGCTTGTAGGGCCCCCCGTGGAGGGGAGAACAGAGCTGTTTTTCTGCATTCTCAGACCCAAAGGTGCTTCCTGAATGCTGGTCCCACACACAAATCGAGTCACCGATACCCCTCACCATCACCCGCCCACCTGCAGTTTGTTCACTCATATGTGCTTTCTGATGACCCAGAGGAGAGAAGCTTTATGCACACACTCTGAGAAATACGCACACAACAGCTGTCGCAGACAAGCACACACACACAGGTACACAGAGACCCATCATCTCTCCAGGGACAGCTACACACACCGCTCAGTCTCGTGGTACACACACTTTCTAGGCACGTTCAGTGGTTAGAGCATCGGCCTGTACACCAAAGGGTCGTGGGTTCAATTCCCAGTCAAGGGCATGTACCTGGGTTGCAGGTTGGATCCCTGGCCCTGGTCGGGGTCGTGAAGGAGGCAACCAACTGATATGTCTCTCTCACATCGATGGTTCTCTCTCTTTCTCTCCCTCCCCCCCTCCCTTCCACTCTAAAAATCAATGAGAAAAATATCCATGGGTGAGGATTAACACGACAAAACAAAACTGATTGCACTCAGTGGACCCAGCATGGCACACGTGGTACTGTTCACCTTCACATAGCCACTGTCTCCGAGGGACAGCCACTTCTGCAGACTCAGTCGGTCAAGGCAGGGACGGCAACTCCACACAGCTGCACTGTCACACAGACGGCCCGCACAAACATGGGGTCACATGCGATCACCCGCGCCTAGGGCCTGAAGCAGGCAAACGGTCCGTAGTAGAGCCACACAAAGCCTTGCACCAAGCGACCATTACACAATCATAAATGCAGACGTGGGCTCACATTCTCCCAGTCCAGGAGCCGGTCACATGCAGCCCCCCTGGGACAGGCACTCAGTGCTACACAGAGCCCCCCACAATTCAGGCACAGTTAGCAGGCACGCACATGCAGGGGTTCTGGTTACCTGTCACCCTCAGAAGCAGAACTGTGATCAGGGCACCGACTGTCCACCTCCAGAGGGGTCCTGCTGTAGCCATGGTCACTGCCCCTGGCAGGGGAGGACAGAGAATGGGGAGGTCCCAGTGATTATGGGGAACCCTTACCTGCTTCCTTCCCTACTCTGTTTCCCGGGGCAGAGAGGGACTGGGAGGAGGAGGGAGGACAGAGCGACCAGAGCCAGACGTGGGGACACCTCGCCATCGCTGTCCCCCTCACCTAGCCTCACCTGCGCGCGTCCCCCAGGCAGGGGTGGGGAGCCTGCTCCCAGCTCCGCCGAAGACTTCTCAGGCCCGCGCCGTCCTGCCGCCGCCTCCTCGTCGGCTCCGGGCACCCGACCTGGGTTATAACCACCCACTGCCGCCTGGGGCGCATTCCCGGGTAGTGAGGCGCCCTGCCTGGCCGCGGCAATCACTCCTCCGGCCTCCCCTCCATCCCGCCCCCAGAGCACCCCCCACCCAGTTCCGAAAGCCACTCCCTACCTCCCTGGCCCCGGGATGGGGAGGGTCTCCGCTCTGGGGCGCGCAGCTCGGCGCGAGGGTTTTCCTTTGTTCCCCGCGCCGCCTCTCACCCTGCGCGTCATCTTTCCAAACGTTGTCTCCGGGATTGCAAACTCTTCTGCCTTTCCTTCTCCCTCCTTTTGCTTCCTTCTGAATGGTTTCCGAGTCTCCTTCAGTATAAGGCGCTCACAGAGCATCACCCTTCTCTGTCTCAACCCCCCCCCCCCCACCTCGGAGCAAAGATCCCTGTCTCTCTGGGTCTCAACGTGTCTGTTTCTCTGACCCTCCCACTATGTCTTTCGGTGTCTCTACATCTCACTTAAAAAAAATTTTTTTTATTAATTTATTTTTGTTACAGATGTTTCTCCTTTTTTTCTCCATTGACACCCCCCCCCACCCCGTCCCCAGCTTTGTTGTCCATGCCTGTCCTTTATGGGTACATGCTTTTATCTGTGTCTCCATAATACTCTCTTTCATCCTCACCCAAGGATAGTCTTCCATTGCTTTTTAGATAGAATGGGAGGGAGGGAGGGAGGCAGAGAGAGAGAGACAGAGAGAGGGAGAGAGAGAGAGAGGAACATCGAGGTGAGAAAGACACATCGATTTGTTGCCTCCTGCACAACCCTGACCAGGGATCAAACCTGCAACCCAGATTTGTGCCCTTGACCCCAAATCGAACCTGAAACTCTGGTCTGTGGGCTGATGCTCTAACCGCTGAGCAAAACCGGCCAGGGCAATCCTTTCTTTTTAATGCTTCTGAATACTTTGTCAAATATACCTTGGAATTCTAAAGTCGGCTTCATTATTATTATTTTTTTAACAGCTTTATTGAGGCATAACCGAGGTCCAAGAAACCGCATACTTAACATGCACCATTTCATGAGTTTTGAGACACACATGTCCAATCATCACCACCATCAGGATAGCATCTTCTTCACCACAGACATTTCCTTGTGCCTCTGTGACTTATTAACCTCAACACCTCTGGGTCTGTCTTTCCTCCCCATGTATCTCTTCTCTGTGACTTAATTCTTTTCAACCTCTCTCTCTGAGTTTCTGTCTTTGTATTGTTCTCTCTCTCTGTCACTGGCTCTGAATATCTGTATCTCTGTGTCTTTCTGTCCCTCTGTCTCCTCCACCCAAGAAGACTCAGGCTGCTTTGCCAAGGGACCCCCAAAACCTGTTTTCCTGCCCTTCCCCCTGGGCAGGGGCTAGAGAGCAGAAAGGGGCAGGGATCCAGTCTGGGCTCCCCCGCAGGTGTGGTGTCCCAACTGCACAGCCAGGCGTGGGTGAGAAAGTTGGGCAGGACCACATGTTGCTGAGGAAACATGCCAAGAGGCCAGGCCAGGGGCTGGGTGGCTCTTAGCCTTTTGAGAAATGGGGCACTGGGTGGGGAACCCAAAAGGTGGCTTCTCCCTCTCTGGTCCTAGGCCGCCTGAGGTTGCCTCTCCTGACCTCTTCTCCATCCTGGCATTTTCTGTGTGCCTTCAGCTCTCTGTATTCGTCTCTAACTGTGACTCCAAGTGTCTGTCCCCACTGTGTAAGAGCCAAGCACTCATTCAGCCTGTGCATGCTGAGCACCTGCTGTGTGCCGGACTCAGGTCTATCCATGAACAAGATGAATGAAGATGCCTGGAGATGCTGCCCTGGTGGAGGTCACATTCACTGGGGGAAAACACCCGCAGTCCCACTCACTCCGGCACTTGTTGAAGAGGTTTTAGAGCCCTTGAGGCTGGCCCAGTGCACAGGGAAAAGTAACGTAAAAAATAAAATTCTGGTCCGGCCAGTGTGGCTCAGAGGTTGAGCATCGACCCATGCACCAAGAGGTCACAGGTTCGATTCCTGGTCAGGACACATGCCCAGGTTGTGGGCCAAATCCCCAGTGGGGGGCATGCAGGAGGCGGCCAATTGATGTCCTCTCTCATCAATGTTTCTATCTCTCTCTCCCTCTCACTTCCTCTCTCTCTAAAATCAATAAAGAAAAAAATAAAATAAAATAAAATTCTGAGGTTTATTTTGACTATTACGACACATATTTCATGCATTAAAGTGACACACTCAGAAACCTGGTACTTTCTTAGTCTTTTAAGTTTAGCTTGCAAAGCTTTTCATTCTAGATTTCTTAACACTCTTTTTTTTAAAAAATCCTCACCCTAGGATATGTTTTTCTTTTTCTTTATCCTCACCTGACGACATTTTTGCACTTATCTTTAGATAGAGCTGGAGGGAGAGAGGGAGGAAGAGAGAGAGAGAGAAACATTGATGTGAGAGAGACACATCGACTGGTTGCCACCCACACAAACCCAACCAGGGCCAGGGACAAACTGCAACCAAGGTATGTACCCTTAGCGGGAACCAAACCCGGGTCTCTCTGGTCCATGGGCTGACACTCTAACCGCTGAGCCAAACCGGCCAGGGCATGTTTTTCATTGATTTTTAGTGAGAGAGAGAGAGAGAGAGAAAAACATCGATGTGACAGAGAAACATCAATTGGTTGCCTCCAGTACATGCCCTAACTGGTGTTAGAACCTGAAACCTAGGTATGTGCCCTGACTGGGAATCCAACCTGTGACCTTTCAGGGTACGGGATGATGCTCCAACCAACTGAACCACCTGGCCAGGGCTTAATGCACTTTTATGAATTCTTTATTATTATGTTTGGTCTAATTTACATGCTAAATATCTTCAAACATCTTATACTCTGTTTCTAAACCAACATATTTAATCTCTTTGGAAAGTCCTTCCATTATTAGACAAACCTCTCCACATTAAAATGCATTCATCCACCTCTGTATATTACATGTACACATGTGATCAATGTTGCATTTTTTCTAATCTCCCAACACTGGATAGGAAGTGGATGTGAGTCCAACGTAAACATCGAAGGTCAATGACACGTTCGAAGCTCCAGTCACAAGGATGTCCCTAGGACAAGTAAATTTCTCTTAAACATACAAGCACCATAAGTACCAAATGTGCAAAGATTCTGATTCAAACAAAAAAATTCATGTGAAAGACTGGGCCTTTACATATTTCTCTGCTCGCCTGGCTGGTGCGGCTCAGTGGTTGAGTGTTGACCCAGGCACCAAGAGGTCCTGGTTCGATTCTCAGTCAGGGTACATGCCCAGGTTTTGGGCTCGATCCCCAGTAGTGGGTGTGCAGGAGACAGCCAATCGATGTTGATGCTTCTCTCTCTCTCATTGATATTTCTATCTCTCTCTTCTTCTCTCTCTCTCTCAAAAAAAAAAAAAAAAAAAAGAAAGAAAAAACATTAAAAAAATAAAAAATATTTCTCTGCTCAATTGGAAAGCACGTTGGAATCGAAAGAAGATTTTCATGGAGTGAGGAACCCAATCCTGGCACCAGCCTCCTGGTGCTCAAATTCTGAAGTGGTCACCTATTATCTGTAAGGCTTTGGGCCAACCCTGGAGCCTCTTGGAGCCTCAGTTTTCCTCTCTGTAATTAGGGAACAATAATGGTACATAGCCCTAGTTGGTGGGCTCAGTTGGTTGAGTGTGGTCCCATGCACGGAAAGGTCACCAGTTCAATTCCGGGTCGGGGCACATACCCAGGTTTTGGGTTCAGTCCTTAATCGATGTTTCTCTCTCTCCCTCTCCCTTTCTCTCTCTCTAAAAATCAATAAAAACACATTTTAAAGAACATTTATTATTAAAAAATAATAATGGTACCTAGCTCTCAGACTTGCTGTGAAGATTCAACGAGTTAGTAAATAGCCCTTAGAACAACGCCTGGCCTGTGCTAAGTGTTTATTGTTATTGTTGTCTGTTAAGGAAGACGATCAACTGAAGTTGATTTTGTTCTGGCCATTGATTAGGTTCTCTCTGGTGATCCTGGTGGTTTTACTTGTGGTTTATAACTTGTAGAAGGGGTTGGTCAAGGCAGGCCCAGTCTCTTCCCGGGACACAATATTTCTTTGTCCTCGTAAAAGTCAACCACTGCTTCCTATCCCATCCCTTGATAAAATTTCCTATTTCCTTGGTTCTTAAGACCTTTTTCTTCAATTCTGAAGACCTTTGGAATCGAGGGACTCTGTTCTTTTCAAATACCTCCTTTGTCTTGGGACCACATTGCTCTTCCATCAAAAATGACACAGGAGCTTGGCCGGTGGGGCTCAGTGGGTTGAGCCTTGTCCCATGGACTGAGAGGTCCCGGTTCTATTCCAGGTCAGGGCACATGCCTGGGGTGCGGGCTCCATCCCCAGGAGGGGTCATGCAGGAGGCAGCCGATCGATGTTTCCATCTCTCTCTCTCTTCCTCTCTCTCTAAAAAAATCAATAAAAACGTATTAAAAACAAACAAACAAAAAATGACACGGGAGCCCTGGCTGGTTTGGCTCAGCGGTTAGAGCATTGGCCTGCGGTCCAGGGAGACCAGGGTTTGGTTCCCGCTAAGGGCAGGTACCTCGGTTGCAGTTTGTCCCCGGCCCTGGTTGGGTCATGCGGGAGGCAGCCACTTGATGTGTCCCTTTCACGTCGATGTTTCTCTCTCTCCCTCCCACTCTATCTGAACAAAAAACAAAAAAATGTCCTCGGGTGAGGATTAAAAAAAAAAAAATGACACAGGAGTGCCCCAACCAGGTGGCTCAATTGGTTGGAGTATTGTCCCACACACCAAAAGATCATGGGTTCGATTCCCAGTCAGGGCACATACCCAGGCTGTGGGTTTGGTCCCTGGTTGGGGCGTGTACAGGAGGCAACAAATTGATGTTTCTCTCTCTCTCAAATCAATAAAAACAATCACTCAAGTGAAGATTAAAAGAGAGAGAGAGAGAGAGAGGATTGATTTTGAATGTCGTCTATGGTGCAGTCACTCTGTTTAATGACCTCCAATTTCATTTTACTCTGTCCTGGGCGAAATAGGTTGCATTAAGTATTTGTGAAACAAGTGGATTATCATCTCCCATCCTCCCTGTTTCTAAACATTTCTTCGCTCTTAATCCCAGCCCCATGTGGGGCCTCTAGTTTCTCTCTCTCTGGGGAGCTACCATCGTCCCTCTCCCCTCCCTGGGAGGACACATGGCTTAGATGTTATCCTGTCTTCCTCAGAGATGGTGCAGGGGGTTGTAAGAGGAGAATACCTCTCTGAGGACGGGCACAGGCCTGGGGCTTGGGGACAGAGGAGTGTATATCAGTTAGGGGTCATGTGTGGTGTATGTTGGTGGGAGAACCCCAGAAAGTGTGCAGAAGACTGGGTCCTCACCCAGCTGTCTGTTCCCCTCCTTTCTATTTTTGTTCCTCAAAAAGTATCCTCACCTGAGGATATTTTTTTCCATTGATTTTTAGAGAGAGTGGAAGGAAGGGAGGGAGAAAGAGAGAGAGAGAGAGAGAGAGAGAGAGATTGATGTGAGAGACACATTGACTGGTTGTCTTCTGTACATAGCCCAACTGGGGCCAGGGGCTGAATGTGCAATCCAGGTACATGCCTTTGACCAGGAATCAAACCCATGACTCTTTAGTGTGCAGCCCGATGTTCTAACCACTGAGCACACTGGCCAGGGCTGCTCCCCTAATTTCTTTGAGGGCCTCCAGTCTTTACTCCTTCCTGCCCATCCCCCCACCTCACATGGGCTCTAATGAGATATTTCTAATAATGAAAGCTGACCCCATCCTTCCTTTTTTCAAGACCCTCAGGATCAAGGCCAGCTTCTGCTTGGCATTCAAGGCCCAGCACCGTCTTCCATTGACCTACATTTCCAGTCACATCATCCACTTCTCCTGCCTCAGACCCCAGCCTGCACCATCCTGAGCCACTTGCCATCTCCGGGGCACACCAGCTCTTCTCACACCCCCCCCCCCCCCAGGCTTTTCTGCAGGTCTTTCCCTTTATGGGAATACCACGCATCCAAGCTTCTCCATACAGTAAGTTCATGTTCAGCCTCCCTTCTCCAGTCCTCCCAGCCCTAGCTCCAGCTCAACCCTCATCTCGTCTCCATGTACCATCCTCCCAAACCTCCTTTTGACTGCCTTTCGATCTCCTACCTGGTCCATCCTACACATGTCTCCAGTGCTGCTCCTGCTCACAACCCTTCCATGGCTCCCCATTACCCTGAGGAGAAAGTCTCAGCCTCTTGATCTGGGGTCTGAGGTGCAGCTGGTCCTGGCTATCCTCACCCATCACTCTTACCTACACACGATGGTCTTCCAACCCTCTTACCTCCCTGCTTTTGGCACTACAAAGGGGGTTTATGGGAGAGGGGCACCCCTGAGGGCTAGCACAAGGTGGAAGAGTCAAGGACCTCTCCCTGGAGGAGAGGATACACCCAATTAGGCTGTTAAAATGACAAAGAATATCTGGGTTTCAGAGCGGCAGAAGTGAGAGGAGAGCAAAAAGCGTCACCAACAACAAATTCACACTTTATTGAGCAGGCAGGCGTGCCTGAGACCTTGACGCGTCCCAACGACAGCCACCGGCTTTTGAGAAATATACTGTTATTACCCCTATTTTTGCAGACGAGAGTCCACACAGAGAAGGAAGGCACTTCCCAAGGGTACATGCACAGCAGGCGGCGGAGCTGGGATTCTAACTCAGATTTTCCAGACTTATGACCACTCTTCTGTAGGAAGACACCAAGCCCATGGGATAATCAGGGAGAGAGGGCTGCTTGGAAGGGATGTTCCTGTATTCTCTTAGTGGTGGGGGCAAGACCCCAGCCTGTGCCCCTACTCACTTCCAGTGATGCACGGATGGAGCTGGGGTAAAATCAAGCAGAATTAAGCATGAAGGGTTGGATCTGGGCAGGTGAGGGGAAGACAAGGTCTTGATCAGAGATATTTTAGAGCCAGTAAGTGGGGATCGAGGTCACATGTCAGAGTTAGTTGGCCTGAATGGTTTTACGGACCCATTGGCCATATCTGCAGACATTGGTGTAGACCCCCGGCTTCTCCTTGGATCCACAGGGGACGTTACCCCATGATACAAGGCCTCGGAGACGGTTTCCACACACCAATGGACCCCCAGAATCACCCTGTGAAAAGGAAAGAGAGAAGAGTCATAAATGCAGGGAGAGAAAGACAGAGAGAGAGAAGGAGACACAGAGACATGCAGAGAGGGAAAGAGAGACATTCAGAGATGGAGAGAAATACTTGGGGACAGACACACACACGCACACACACACAGTCACAGACAGGGAAATAGAGAGACCAAGAGAGACTCAAAAGCATGGAGAAACAGAGAGGCATAGAGAGAAAAAGAGGAAGAGAAAGAATAAAGGTTAAGAACAGAACAGGGCCAGACAGGGCAGGAGCTGAGGGTGTGTGTGTGCATGCCCTTTCTTTTCATCCAGCTCACTGTGAATCACTTCATCTTGCTCGCTTTCTCCTTATTGGCTGGCCCAAGTGTTTCACAGTAAGTTTTGGAGAGATCCAATGGACCATAGTGGAAGAAACCCACATTAAAGGTATTTGGGAGTGGGGATGGAGCCTCTTTCCCCAGCTAGTGTCCCCCTCCTCCACAGCTTGGCCATGTGTGAGCAGGACCTGTGGGGGCTCTGTTTGAGGAAGGACAGTCCCTTCATGCCATTGGCTTCTTTACTGTGTTTCTCTGGTTCATGCTCTCTCCATCTCCATCCTTGGCGGCATTTCCTGTCTCTGCTGGATGTCCTTCTATGTCTGTCTATCCTTGACTGTGTCTGTGTGTGTCGAATTGAATCTCTCCCCCTTTTCATGCCTCATAGTCTCTCCCAGCTTATCTCTGTAAAGCTCTGTTTGGGTTTGTGTGTCTCCCTCTTCCTGTCTCTGTCTGTGTTTTCGTGTCTCTGTCCTTTGCTATACAACTGGTGTGTCCCATTATTGGCCTCACCTGGCAGGAGTCCTTCCCGAACTCCTCATCCCCAGCACACACCATGTTTTGGGTGATCTGGCCAGGGTAGGCCCTCTCACAGTCCTCATGAGATACCAGGTGGACATTTGCACACTGGATGGTGTTAGGATAGACACCTGTCGAGAGAAGGGGCCGGCTCACTTCACAGCCCATCCTTCCCACATCTTCCCCAGCTACCATCCAACCCCCACAAGTCCTCCCTCCTCTGTTGGTTCTTGTTTCCCACTGGTTCCCTTCTCCTTATTTGTCTGTCATTCTTAAGACACATTTCCATCAGCTCTGACTCCTGATTGGTCCCTCTTTACGTCCTTCTTCCCTCCCACTGGCCTGTCTTCCTCATTAGTCACCCCTTCTCCATGAATCCTCATTTCCTGTTGGTTTTTCCTTTCTCTTAGGTCCTGCCCCCACTTCTTTCTCCTCCATAGGTCCCACCTTCTTCAGTAGTTCCAGCTGACTTCCAGACTCTCCCTGGATTAGTGACCTCCATTATTTGTCCATTGGACCATTCCTGCTATTGGTTCATCCTGATTGGTCACCGATGGACCATTAGTCCTTTCCTAACTGGTCCTTCTTTGCCCATTGGCTCTTCCTCCTTATAGGCCCTTCATCCAATGGTCCATCTCCCTCATTGGTCCTTTAATAAATGGCTCTGTTCTCCCCCATTACTCTACCCTTCCATTGACCCTTCATCCAATAGTCCATTTTTTTTTGGCTCTTCACTTACAGGCCCATGTCAATGATTCTTGCTGATTTATTGGACTTGTATCTTCCTCTAGTGACTCCTCTTGATTATTCACTCTTCCCCAGTGGTCCCTCTTCCATTAGCTTTCTCTACCTGTTCATTCTCTCAATTCACATCCTTCAGATGGCTTCCCTGCTTTATTAATATCTCTTGTTTCATTAATCTCATCTCCACTTATCCCTTCTTGAACATCAGTGCATTCTGATTGGTCCCTTTTGACAACTGGCCTCCTTCCTGATTGGTATTTCCCCATTGACCCTCCCCCACCATAGACCCATCATCATCTTATGGCCCATCCACCCATACTATTCACCCATTGGTCACTTTCTCCATTGGCTACTCACTCATTGGCCCAACTCCTATATTTGCCTTCCTTCCCCATTGACCTTCCACCCAGTAATACACTACCTAATTGGTCCTCACCATTGGACCACCTTCATCTTTGACCCTTTACCCTTTGGTCCACTTTCCCCAAGACCTATCACCCATTAGCCTGCTCATTGCCCTTGTTCTACTGACCATTTGATGTCTTGCCCCAGCCTAGAATGTGGCAGCTGCTGTGGTTAGCTGAGCAGTCTCTCTCCAGGGTCAGAGGCTGGATGCGTTCAGACAGTTTGGCTGGGCGCTTCAGGCGTAACAGCATGATGTCCTGGTCATGAGTATCAGCATTATAGCCAGGGTGGACCATAACCTGGACGACAGAGCTCTGCTCCTGGAAACTCTCTCTTTCATAAATGTTATGCTTCCCCAGGTAGACCTGAATATTCCTGGGAGAAAGGAGGTCTGGGTCTCATCTTTAGCCCTTGGGCTGCAGATGAGACTCCAGATGGGCTGCGGTGAGAGGTGGGGGTAGCCTGGTACACCATGAGCTATATGGCCTGTTTCCTTCAGTCTTCCCAGCCCAGTAAATGACAATTCTATCCTTCCAAAACAAACACAGAGACTATCCTTGACTCTTTATTTTATGCCTCACATCCAAGCTGTCCAGACATCCTTTTATCTTTCCAAAATATACCCAGAATCTGACCACTTCTCACTGCCCCCATTGCTACCATCTTGATCTGAGAAACCATCATCCCTCACTTGGACTACAGCAGTAGCTCCCTTACTGGACTCCTTGCTTCTGCCTCCGGCTCTCTATAGTCTATCTTCCACAGAACAGCCAGATATTTTAACAACATAAGTTGTCCTGTCCTTAGTCTGCTCATAATTCTCCCATGACTCCCAACTCACTCAGAGTAAAGACCAAAGTATTCACTATGGCCTACATGGTCCTGCCAATTACCTCACAAGTATCTCCTCCCACTATTACCCTCTCTCTTTCTTCTACAGCCACTCTGGTTTCCTTGCCCTTTCCTTAAACACAACAGTCATTCTCTCACCCCAGGGCCTTTGCACTGTCTGTTTTCTCTGCCAGCAACTATTTTTCCCAGACATCTGCATGGTTCACTCCCTGACCTCCTTCAAATGTCACCTCCTCAGTGAGGCCTTCCCTGGTAACCTAATTAAGATGTAAATATCCACCCCAACAGGTACTTCTTATCTCCCTCTCCTGTTTTTTTTTTTTTTTCCACCAGAAAACCTATCATTATTATTTTATGTATAATATATGCGCTGTTAAATATTTACTTGTTTTATTGTCTCTCCTCCTACTATAGCATCGGTGCTGAATAGAACTGTCTGCAGTGATGAAAATTTCTCTGTGCTGTTTGATCCAGGGGCCACTAGCCACAGGCAACTACTGAGCACTTGAAATGTGGCTTATGGATTTGGAATTTCATTTCATTGTTATTAATGTAGATTTAATTAGCCATATGTGGCTGATGGCACAGCTCTAGAATATCAAGATGGGATTTTTGTTTTGTTCAGATACAACATTCTCAGTGCCTAGATCAGTAATGGGAACATGATGAGCATCCAATAAATATTTGTGAAATGGATCAAAGAGCCACTGTCTTGCTCAAAAGCCTCCCGTAGCTCCCCATTACCCTCAGAATACAGCCCAAGTGTCTCATCCCACCATTCTCTGCCCCCTGTGAACTGGTAATACTCCAGATTGTTCTTACTTCAGGGCCGTTGCCCTTGTGTTTCCTCTGCCCTAAATGCTCTTCCCCAACTTCCCTTGGCCATGCTCTCTCGTCTTCCATGCCTCAGCATGCATTTCATCACATCCACCTACAGTAAGTACTCCTGCTTTTTTTTTTTTTTCTGGAGAAGCCATTTTTGTTCTTCCTCTTTGCTGGACTTAGGGTAATTTGTAATCGTATACATTTTTTTTTGAAGATTTGTTTGTTAAGTGTCTTTCTGCCCCTATGACCCAAGGGCATGACTGTCATTAACTCCGGAATCCCCACTGCCCAACTCAAATCTGGCCCTTAGTGGGTGCTCTCAATCAATGGGCCCTGCATGAATGAATGAGGATGGTGGGAGGGAGGCCAGTTTTCTCTGAGCATGGGGAGACCATTCTGGGGTCCTTGAGTCCGCGACCTTGCATGACAAGACCCCTCCCCCAACAGTGAGGTGAAGCATCTCCTGCTTTCCACACGCTTGAGTTATCCCTTGTTAATTCTCTGGGCCTCAGTTCCCTCATCTGAAAAATGGGACCAACAGGCCCTTATTGTGGGAATTTCACTGCTTCACTGGGGACCTGGCCCAGAGGTAGTTCTGAACAGCTGTTGGTAATCTAACTTGCGGTTTTTAGTGCCCTGAGGATTTGTCCCAGGCCCTCTCTGCTCCTCTGTCTAGGCCCGCTTTTTGGGTGATCTCATCCTGTCCCGTGGCTTTAAATACTACTTGCTTGCAGATGACGCCTTCATCTTTACCTCCGGCTCTGACCTCTCCCCTGAGCGCCAGCGGCCAACCTGGCATCCTTCTTGGATATCTCCCAGGGATCTCAGACTCATCTTGGCTACAGCAAAATGCCTGATATCCCACTGCCCATAGCCAAACTGCTTCTCTTTCTCTCTCCTCCGACTCAGCGAAAGACCCACCGAACACCCAGGTGTCCACGTCAACTACTTTGGAAGTGAGCCCTGCTTGTTTTCATTCCCTCCCATCTCACATCGCCAAGTCCTGCTGGCTCGGTCTGAAAATGACTCCCAAGATTTCCAACTTCCGCCCATCTCCACTGCCAGCATCCTGGTCCCAGGCATCACTGTATCGTGCTGGACCATGGCGACAGCCCCCACAGGCATCTGTCCATCTCCTCTTGCCCCGTCCACCTTCCACAAGGTAGCCAGAGTGCTTTTAACAATGAAATCAGATCTCGCTGCTTCCCAGAGAAAAGCTCTCCAGCGCCTTCCCACTGCGCTTAGCACTGAATCTGTATCTCCCTACGGGGCCCTGCATGATCAGAGAAGGTCAGTTCACCAAAGCAGCAACTCTGCTTGTATTGCTTACTGCTGGATCCCCAGGGCCCCAGACAGTGCCTGGCATATATTTAATGCTTAATTAAATATTGGCCAAATGAGATGGGTTATCAGATGGCCTCGCACTGGGACGGCGGAGATGTGTGTCATTTCATGCCTGAAGTCTGCAAGACGTTGGTGGGGTCTAGTTGCAACCACTCCCTGTCCACAGTGTGGGAACTCACGTTCTTTTGCAGTGGGCAGCCGTGAGGACCCATGATGGGTGAATGAGGACGCCCCCGCAGAGCAAGTGGCCGGCGCTGTAGAGAGCAGCTTGGTAGGGGTGAGACATGCGATCGCAGGGTCCACCTTGTAGCACCTTGTCCCTCCTCTCTGCCTGGACTGAGGAAGGAAGGTTTGAATCACAGAAAGGTCTAGAGACAGCAGCCGGTCCACCAGGGTGAACCCAGTCCTGTCTTAATCATGAAGATTATCTGCAGCCCCACCCCCAGACGTATCCATTACCATCCCCAAAGCCAACCCCGTCCTCTCCCCCATCTTCACCCCACCTCCCGCCCCCTTCCCTGCCTGCACCCCCCATTCCTCACTTAGCCGCCAATGTGAACGGCTTCCTCATTCCAAAGCCACCCCCTGTCCACACCTGTGTGGCTCCCATCTCCAGTTCCAATCTCTGCCCCATCGGCAACCCCCACCCTGTCCCCAAACCTCCTCGTCCCCCTCCCCTTTCTTCCCACCTGTGGCGGTCAGAACCAGGGCTGCAATCAGCATCTCCATGGTGGTTCCTAGGAGGGGAAGCCAAGAGCTCCATCAATCACTGTCTCAGACCTCACCCAGGCCCGCCCCCCTTCTCCCTCCTTCCTGACCCTTGACTCCTGCTCTTCATCCAGCCTCCTGATTTCTTCTCTCCTACACCCCCGTCTTCTCCCTGAGGGTCCCGTGGAGGCAGGTGCCGGTGGGAACCCAGCACTGCAACTGTTGGTCCCGGGTACCGCTCACAGTGCGAGTCTAGTCTTTCTACACCTCCCGGGTCGAAGGTCGAGTTTGCCTGCCTAGTAACAGGGAGGGTTGGCCCGGGAGGCCCCTGATGTTCTTGTCTCCCAGTGCATTTCCCCCTAAACCTGAGCTCTGGGCTCACCTGTTGTTCACCCCCCCTACTTGTACGTTCTGGGGTGCAGTGTGGTCTTACCTGCTGGGGGCCACTGTCTACTGGCCCAGGGACAGCACGTATCACAGGCAGAGAGACAGGGAGGCGGAGTCAGAAATGCAGGGAGCTGAGGGGAGAAGGGGTCAGCAAAGCAGTGAGGACCCCTAGGAATGAAAGAGAGACAGAAAGAGACAAGAGCAGAAGATGGAGGGGCTGCAGGGCCCAGGGCATCAAGGACTGGCTGACAGACACCCCAGGGGCTCTGGCCTCCCTGGAAAAGGCTGATCTTCTCCCCAGATGCTCCTGGTGCTTGCTCCCTTTTAACCCCTCTCTACCAACATCCCCGGGGCAGGAAGCTGCTCCTCCCTTTCCTCCTTACCGGGCCTCCTACACACATTCTTCCACCCCCCCCCCCACAGCTGCTCCTGATGACCCCTGACCCCAGCTTCCAGGAAGGGGAGCACTTGTCCCTACGTGCACTGGTGAATACTGGGTCTGAGGGAGGAGGGGCTGGGTGCCGACTCCCGGGTGTGGGAGAGGCAGCCATGGCAGCTTGGCCTCCTAAATCCCTGAACTTCTAGGTCTTTGAGCAAGAAACTGTCTGAGGACCCAAATGTCGTCCTCCTGGGTAAGTGAGCAGTAGCCCTGGCCTCTGGGGACCCCACCACCTCTGTCTGTCAGTGCTCAGGACCCGCAGGGCCTTGGGCCCTGGGAACCAGACCCCATGGGTTCAGTGAAGTTGGGATGATTCACGCACCTGCCTTCAAGTCCCTCTGTGGGTGCTGGCGACCTCCTTGTCCCCACGAGAGAGTGAGCCAGCTAGTGAGAAAGCATGTGTCACCAGGCTGGGGCGCAGGCCCGGGCATTGTGGGGACAGGCCCTGGGACAATTCGGCTTTGTCCGCCCCCAGCGCCCAGTGCCACGCTCCTGGCAGCGCCGTTTCTCAACCTCTCTTCCTGGAAGGCGGGTGGCAGAAGCTGCGTCAATAGCTTCTCTTTGTCCCAGGCTGACAGTCCTCTTGCTGTCTTTTTAACGTTTTTTTCTTTCTTAGCCTCCCCCAAGGACATTTTTGCATTTATCTTCAGACAGAGCGGGAGGGAGAGAGGGAAGAAGAGAGAGGGAGAGAAACTTCGATGTGAGAGAGACACATCCAGTGGCTGCCACCCACACAGCCCCAACCGGCCAGGGACAAACTGCAACCAAGGTTCATGCCCCTAGCGGGAACCCTCGGGTCCACGGGCCAACGCTCCAACTGCTGAGCCAAACCGTCCAGGGCCCTGGCTGTCTTTTGATTGTCCACACACCTCTGCCCTGATATCAGGACTCCGGACCCTCCCAGCCGCCCTCCTCCAAGTCTGCGCACCTCGGAGGTCTCTGTCCATTTCCCTCCCTGGCCCAGGCGGGGTGTCTCCGTGTCTGTCGGTCTCTTGTTCTGTTCCTCAGTCTCTTCCTATGTCTCATTACCCTTCTGCTGCTTTCTCCATCTTTTTATTCTGTCTCTGTCTTTCCCCTTGGTGCTCCAAGTCTCTAAATCTCTCTCTGATCTTCCCCTGGGTCAATAGCTTCTCCCCCTGCACCAGGAGGAGAAGGTGCACACGCGCGGACGGGCTGCAGGTTCCTGGGGAGCCCAGCGAGATGTGGGGGTGGGGCGTGAGGAAGCCAGTGGGGCGCAGGAGGATCTGGGGATTTGATGAAATTGAACACATTGGGAGAGGCGTGGACATCAGCAGGAAAGGCCAGAAAACCTGAGAGCGAGTGGAATGTGGCGTGAGGGCCCGTGAGCTCCGGGGGATCCAGGAGGCTCTGAGGGGAAGGGCCGGCGGCGGGTGCCGGGAAGGCAGGTGGCACCGGGCGTGGGCTGAGTGGCCAGGGTGTGCGTGGCTCAGGAGAGGGAAATGCGGATGGGTGCGGTGACAGGGGCAGGGGAGCTGCTGGGCCTGAGAAGGACAATGGGCGTTTTCAGGAAAGAAATTGGGCAGGGAGGTCAACTGATCTTCATTTCTGCCTCAGCACCAGTTTGGCCTGGAGCTACGTTTTTTGCTCGCATTAAATCTCATTGTGGGGGCCCTGGCCGGTTGGTTAGAGCCTTCTCTCCCTAAGCTAAGGTTGTAGGTTGGGTCTCCAGTCAGGGCACATACAAGAATCAACCAAGCAATGCGTCAATAAGTGGAACAACACATTGATGTCTGTCTGTCTCTCTCTCCCTTCCCCTCTCTCTAAAATCAGTGAAATAGAAATTTCATGGGATGAAAACCAATTTGTCATTCAACGTACTCTGTGGCTTGAATGGAACCTGCCCCCCGCCCCGTTCCCTCAGACCCTTCACACTCATGTCCCCACTGACTTGAGGATCCATTATCCTTCCAGGCAACAAGCGGGACCCCTCACAGCTGGTTGATCCCCAAGCCCTGTCACATCGCCTCCCCTCTCTGTGCAGCTCCCTCTTCTCTGTCCCCATTCCCCAGCCTCAGCTCAGCCCGGTGTCTCTCCCACATGGACCATCACCTGGGCATCTTCTGTCTTCTCCGCACCCTCCCTTGTCCCCAGAAGGTTTATTCTTCTTGCACCCAGAGCTGACCCGGACTCTCCTGCTCACCACCCTCCCTGGGTCCCCCATCATCCTGGGGACAAAGTCCTAACCCCTCAGCCTGGTGTTGAAAAGCCTTCAGCATCCAGAATGGTGCTGACCAGAAGAAATACATGACAGGTACACATGCACTTTTAAATGTTCTCATAGCCACAGTTAAAGTAACAAAAAAATAATAAATAAAAAGACGCAAGAGTTACTACCAATCTGTACTTCTCAATACCTTCTTTTTTTTCACCTAGCTCGAGTCACAGGTTGTTAAGTGCAGCACAGAAAATACAGTCAATAATATTGCAATAACTATGTATGGGGCCAGGTGGGTACTACAAATATCAGTAAAGTATATGATTGTCTAACCACTGGGCTGGACATCTGAAACTAATGCAAATAATATTGAATGTCCACTGTAATTGAAACAATAAAATGTTAAAAATGAAAAGTAAATAAAAATCTCAAAAAAAGGGTTTATTTTAAATTTTTTTTCTTTATTGATTTTAGAGAGAGAGGAAGGGGGAGAGAGAGAGAAACATTGATGAGAGAGAACATCGACTGGCCGTCTCCTGCATGCCCACCACTGGGGATCTGGCCCACAACCTGGGCCTGTGCCCTGAATGGGAATCGAACCGGTGACCTCTTGGTGCATGGGTCGACGCTCAACCACTGGGCCACACTGGCCGGGCTTATTTTTATATTTTATTTAACTGAATACATGCAAAAATATTGTCACTCCAACACGAAATCAAAAGAGGAAAAATTCTCAAGAGAGAGTTTGCTTTCTTATTTTTTTGCACTGTTGGTGTTTGGGATCCGATGTGTCGTTTTCAATCAGCAGCGCATGTCAGTTAGATCCTGACACATTTCAAGCAGCCGAGAGCCATGGCCGTGGTGAGCAGCTGCCACCTTAGCTGATTCCGCTCTGCCTACTTGTCTCCCTGCACACCAGCCGTGGAGATAATCTGAGGCTCTCCTGAACCACGCCGTGACCTCTGACCTTCGGGCCTTAACTCATGCTATTGTCTCTTCCCAGAACTCTCTTCTGACAACTTGTCCTTCAAGTTTGCTGAGATATCACCTCCTTCAGGAAACCTTCCCTGAACACCACCCAATTCCTACCAGTTGTGGTTAGGTTAGTCACTCTCTCATCTAGATTTCCACGGTAGGCGCCTCCCTCAAGTAACCCTGAACTGTGACCATCTGCATTCACGTTCATTTCCCCCACTGGACTGAAAGCTCCCTGAGGCCAGGCACCGGGGCTGACTCACCCTCGCGTCCCACGCACCCGCACAAGATCTGGTCCAGAGGAAGCCTTAGGAAATGTTGACCGAATGACTAAATGATTTCATTAAGCCCACTCCTATTGTAGAGATAAGAAAACCAAGGCTCAGCCCTGGCCTGTGTGGCTCAATTGGTTGGGTGTTGTCCAGTGCATCAAAAGGTTGCCAGTTTGATGTCCCAGTTGGGACACATGCCAGGGTTGTGGGCTTTATTCCTGGGAGGGGGCATGCAGGAGGCAGCCAATGAATATTTCACTTTCACATCGATGTTTCTCTCTCTCTCCCTCTCCCTTACCCTCTCTCAAAAAAATAAAAAATCAATGAAAGAAAACAAACAAAAAAAGAGAGAAAACCGAGGCTCAGAGAGATGAAGTTAATTGCTCAATGTCAAACACCCAGGAAAGGGTGGAGCCTGAATTAAAACTCATCTTCCAACATAGTGGACCCATCTCTTGGCACCCCCACTGGGTCTATCTTACTACAGTATGGGATGGGTAGATTTAGGAGGAATAGTTCGGAGCTGTATAGGAAAGGAGGGGGTGAGAGGTGGTGGGGAGTAGAGGAAACTCTAAGAGAAAGAATTAAGTCCCCAGCTCCAGGCACTGGCCATTGGCCCTCTGGGCTTTGTCATGTCCACACACCATGCTTAATCATGAGTTTGATCTGCTCTGCAAAGGCGTTAATGAAGAAAATATTTTAGCCCTGATCAATCTGGCTCAGCAGTTGGAGTGTCGGCCCGTGGACAGAAGAGTCTCGGGTTCGATTCCCAGTCAAGGGTACTTACCTCGGTTGAAGGTTCGATCGCTGGTCAGGGTCATGCAGGAGACAACCAGTCAATGTGTCTCTCTCACATTGATGTTTCGCTCTCTCCCACCCTCCTCTCACTCTATCTGTGTATCTGAAAAAAAATTAATAGAAAAATATCCTCAGGTAAGGAATAAAAAAATATTTTATAAGAAAACACTATGAAAAAATAAATAATGAACCTCTAGTTAAAGATAGGCGTGCTGGCCCTGGTTGGTGTGTTCAGTTGGTTGAGTGTCATCCCAGGCACCAAGGGTTGCCAGTTTGATTCCTGGTCAGGGCACATGCCCGGGTTGTGGGCTCCATCCCCCGTCGGGGACTTGCAGGAGGCAACTCATTGATGTTTCTCTCACTCTCTCTTACTTCTCTCTATAAAATTAATAAGAACATATTTCTTTATTGATTTTAGAGAGAGAGTAAGGGAGAGGGAGAAAGAGAGAGAAACAGTGATGAGAGAGAACATAGATTGGCTGCATCCCGCATGGCCTCCACTGGGGATCAGGCCCACAACCTGGGCATGTGCCCTGACCAGGAATCGAACTGCATGGGTCGATACTCAGCCAGTGAGCCACACCAGCCAGGCAATAAAAACATATTTTTTAAAAAAGATATGCATGCTGAAGTGTTTAGGGGACAGTACACCAATGTCTGTAATTTATTTTGAAATACATCCAAAATTAGTTAATGGATGAATAGAGTAATAGGTGGATGTGCGATAAAACAAATATAGTGAAATGTTAATGGTAAGATTTAAGTGGTGGATATATGGGTATCTATTGTAAATTGTTCAACTGTGTTGTACATTAGAACCTTTATATATACACACTTTATGATATTATAATCAGGAAAAAGTGACAAAAGACACAAACAAAATCTAACACTCAGCCCTGACTGGTGTTGTTCAGTGGTTAGAGCACCACCCATGCACTGAAAGGTTGTGGCTTCAACTCCCAGTCAAGGGCATGTACCTGGGTTGTTGGTTTGCTCCGCAGTCCCAGCTGGGGCGCATGCAGGAAGCAACCAATAGATGTGTCTCTCTTACACTGATGCTTCTCTCTCTCCTCCCCTCTCCCTGCCACTCTCTCTAAAAATCAATGGAAAAAATATATATATATATCTCCTCGGGTGAGGATTAACAACAACAACAACAAAAACCCCAGCAACAATAACAACAAAAAAAACAACACTTACTGAAAACTTATTTGTGTGCTAACACTTTTTGAATATTATCTAGTCTTCATAGTGGCCCTGGGAAATGAACGCTACTTTTCTTATTTCAAAGCTGAAGGAACAGGGAGGTAATGTGCTCAAAGACAAATAGCTTATAGGAGCCAGAACTAGAATTAGAGCGCACAAAGCCCAGTCTCTAGAATTAGTGCCTTCAGCTACTGTGCCTTTCTGTCTACCCAAAGAAAAATGAAGTTATTTTATTTATTTTTAATTTTTTTATTTATTAATTAATTTTTGTTATAGCTGTTTCTCCTTTTCCCCCCACTGATTAGCCCTCCCCCTCCTTCCCCACCCTATCCCCAGCTTCGTTGTCCATGTTCACTGTTCATGCACACATGCATATAAGTTCTGTGGTTTATCTCTCCCCCACCACCCCCTCTTCTGGGGATTGTCAGTCTGTACCCCACTTCCACGTCTCTGGGACTACCCCATTCCTCAGACTGTTATGTTCATTATATTCCACAAATAAGTGAGATCATATGATACTTGTCTTTCTCTGTTTGGCTTGTTTCAGTTAGGATGATACTTTCCAGGTCCTTCCGTGTCATCTCAAAGGATGAGAGATCTTTCTTTCTTACAGCTGCATAGTAATCCATTGGGTATATGTACCACAGCTTTTTTATCCATTCCATCTACTGATGGACATTTGGGCTGTTTCCAGATCTTAGCTATTGTAAATAGTGCTGCTACGAACATGGGGGTACATATATTCTTTCTGATTGGTGTTTCAGTCTTCTTAGGGTATATTCCTAGAAGAGGCATCACTGGGTCAAATGGCAGTTCAATTTTTAATTTTCTGAGGTAACACCATATTGTTTTCCATAGTGCCTGCACCAGTCTATATTCCCATCAGCAGTGTACTAGAGTCCCCTTTTCTCCACACCCTTGTCAACACTTGTTGTTTGACAGGTGTGAGGTGATACCTCATTGTTGTTTTAATTTGCATCTCTCTGATGATTAGTGATGTTGAGCATTTCTTCATATGTTTCTTAGCCATTTGTATGTCCTGTTTGGAGAGGTGTCTATTTAGTTCCTCTGCCCATTTTTAATTGGATTATTTGTCTTCCTTTTGTTGAGTTGTATGAGTACTCTATATATATTGGAAATTAACCCTTTATCTGATATATCATTGGCAATTATGCTCTCCCATACAGTGGGTTGCCTTTCCATTTTGATGATTGTATCTTTTGCTGTGCAGAAGCTTTTGAGTTTGATGTAGTCTCATGTGTTCATTTTCTCCTTTGTTTCTGTTGCCTTAGGTGATGTATCAGTGAAAATTCTGCTGCTTATGATGCCTGAAATTTTATTTTACATACATTTTCTTCTACGATTTTTATAGATTCATGAGTCACATTTAAGTCTTTTATCCATTTTGAGTTTATTCTTGTGTATGGTATAAGTTGCTGGTCTAGTTTCATTTTTTTGCATGTAACTGTCCAATTTTCCCAACACCATTTATTAAAGAGGCTGTCTTTACTCCATTGTATGCTCTTGCCACCTTTGTCGAATATTAATTGAGCATATTGCCTTGGATACATTTCTGGGTTCTCTGTTCTGTTCCACTGGTCTATGCGCCCGTTCTTGTGCCAGTACCAGGATGTTTTGATTACAGTGGCTTTGTAGTATAACCTGAAATCTGGTAATGTGATCCCTCCTACTTTGTTCTTCTTTTTCAAGATTTCTGTGACTATTCGAGGTGTTTTTTGGTTCCATATGAACTTTTGAAGTATTTGTTCTAGTTCTGTGAAGTATGTTGTTGGTATTTTGATGGGGATTGAATTGAATCTATAGATTGCTTTTGAAGTTATTTTTAAGAAATTCAACAAGAGGACTATCTGAAGTCATTGCAAGGCAACCCATCTCCAGACTTGTGTGAAGGAGCTGAGAGGCAGGGCCAGGTGTCTCCAGCAAACTTAGTGCAGCTGACATGTTTTGTTACCTTTTAAAATGTTGGATTGAATATTGATTTGGAGTGGCAATCTAGACAGAGGGGACATTGATGGAACTTCATGAAGTTGGGTGGCCAAATACCCTAGACATTCCTTAAACTTGTCACTGATCCAAAAAAAAGGACAAGGCTGAAGGCCTGGACTCCTGGGTCTGAGGGAGGAGGGGCAGGGGGCCTGGACTCCTGGATCTGAGGGAGGAGGGGCTGGGGGCCTGGACTCTCGTGTTTTGTGGGAGGAGGGGTCTTGGTTTACTCTGGGCAGATTATTGGTGGAGAGAGGTCCAAGGGAGATTCAAGAGGGAGATGAGATGAGGAGATGAAGGATCTAGACTCTAGAGGATGTTGACCAGAAGGAAGTTCTGGGGAAAAAACTGGAAAGACAGGTGGGAGGGGTAAGTCCTGGGCTGGAGAAGATTTCTCTGTCAGCAGAGTCTGAGGGGTGACTGCCCAGGGAGACTGATAGCTGGAGGCCCAGGGGTGTGGCCAGGCCCTGAGTCACAGGGGACTCACCCCTCTTCTCTTCTCTCTTCCAGAGGCCTCTTCCCTGAATTCTTGGAGAACAGGAGCCCACCTACCCAGATTTCCAGCCCCATCTTTCTCTCCCACCTGGGACACTGGATGCTCACTTGTGGCAGATTCTGTGGGCCCTGGTGTCCTAGCTACCTGCCAGTCCTAACCTTATTGAAACCTCCTCCCTCTCTCCTAGTCTGTCACCTGTGAAATGCCCAGAACCACTTTCAAATCCATTACCACCCTGATGAAGTAGGCATTTCTCATTTCTCTTCTCTCTCTCTCCCTGCACCTCTCTCCCATTTAATGGGTGGGGAAAATTGAAACCTGGGAAATAGAGAGGAACACGCCACTGGACCAGTTGGGGCAAGTGACAGAGCGAAGGCTCAGAATCAGATACATTTTCCCTTCCCACCTCCCTCTGTGAAGGTCTCCTCTCCCCAACCTTAGCTCTTCAGATTCCCACCTGTATTTTTCAGATTATAAAAGTGCATAGGCACAGAAAGCAAAGAGGAAGGTACCCCATGACTATGACCACATGCAGTTTGGTACATGCTCTTTATTCTGTGAAAATTTCATTTTACATGGCGAGGATCACATGAATATATATTTGTATCTTTTTTTTTTTCTTTCTATTTAACATCAGGTAGCATAAACATTCTTGAGTGACATGGACAATTCTGCATCATTATTATCCAGAACATCTTCTTTAATATTCTTGTCACAAATCCATTTATTGTTTACATAGACAATTAACTAATTCAAACCTTGCTCCACATTTCAGGTTTACTAGATTAGTAGGTCCAAGGCAGTGAATAAGTGTCTTGATTTACCTTGCCCCACTGCCTTCCAAAAATATTATACTAATTTACAGTTGAGGCTGCTGGTCTCATTGCATCTTTACCAGCACTGAGGTTTTTGTGTTCTCTCTCTCTCTCTATCTCTCTCTTCCTCTCTCTTTGGTTTTGGTTTTAGTTTTTTGCTTAATTTCATTGGCTTACATACATATCATATTCTTGAGGTTTTAATATGACTTTGAGCAAAGTTATCAAATATGACTACAGGTCATCAATGTCCTTATTTCTGTAAATGTTCTTCTGTTCAAGGCATAGAGCTGGAGAGATGGGAGTTTGGAGAGATTAGCGATTGTTTCTCATGGTCTCATTGATCCAATCGGTGAAGTTGCAGACTTTGGTATAAACACCTGGGTCATTGGCTTGGCCACACGGGAAAGTTCCCCAGGATACCAGGCCTTGTAGGTAACCTTCGCAAATCAGTGGTCCTCCTGAGTCACCCTGGAGGGGAGAAAGCAGATTAGTTTGGGCTTCAGAGCAACCAGCACCGAGGTCTCACACACCCCATGGTTATCATATCAAGCCTTTGTCCTGCCAGAACACAGCCTTCCACCCTGGCCAATGGGAAGAGACTCACTGTCTCTGTGGACCAATGGGAGAGCAGGAATTAATACTATCATGCCAAAGGACAATCCAGGTTTTCTGAAGACATTGGCCTGAGCCCCGGCCAATGGGACCAATCACAGGGAGGGGGTGGGGCTTCCCGGAAGCCAGAACCCTATTTATTTTCTATCGTGAAGGACTCTTTGCCAAACCACTAAAAGAAGGTGTATTATCTCCATGGAATCCACACATACTCTTGCCCACAGATGCGGGACAGGGTAGTCCTGGGACCCAGGGGCAGGACCAGTGACCTAATTCACAGGGTCAAGTGCAAAATGAAAACGCAGACCACCTGGAGCAAATATAAGAGATTCAAAAACAGCAACAGGAGTTTAAACCAAGTGTGGGACTGTCCCAAGTGTAGGGGTCTTTGTCCCTGCAGAGCTTGCACAATCATGAATCAGTCCCTCAGTGGGGGACAAAGGGGACCCCCATTCATTAGGACACACAGCCCTGTCTCATTGCCCCTCTCCCTAACACACACACACACACCCCACCTCTGAAAGCTGAGAGTGCAGATGTGAGCAAAGATAGTGGGGGTAGGAAGAGGCAAAGAGACAAAAAGAAACAGAGAGAGAGGTAGAGAAGAAGGGAAGAAGGAGGGGACAGAGAAGCAGAAGTTTTGGGGTGAAGAAAAGGCAGAGATGAGAGAGAGAGAGAGAGAGAGAGAGAGAGAGAGAGAGAGAGAGATCCCAACACAGACAGAACTCAGACGAAAACCAGGAAATGACATGAGGTGTAAAGAGAGATGATGGGAGATGGTCTTCAAGGCAGAGAGGGGTTACAGAGAGGTGAGGAAGGGGAACAAAGAGAAGGAGAAACTCCTTTTGTTCCCAGGACCAGAACCCTGGTGAGGTCAATGAAACATAAGCTTCTGGCATGAACTCTCAGTGACTGAATAAATACTTAAAAATCAAATTTAATATGAAAAAAAAAATCTATGACAAACAGGTTATCCCAATTTTAGATAAACAGGGTCAGTGTGGTGCTGTGCTGAACCATATGGAAGCCCGAGGCAAATGGAAAATTGAGTAAAACTGTGATTTTTTTGAAAATTCTGCCATTTGGTTCACTAAGGACTTTTGCATGTATATATATATATATAGGCCCTGGCCAGTTTGGTTCAGTGGTTATAGCATCGGCCACGGACCGAAGGGTCGTTGTTTTGATTCTGGGTCAAAGGCAGGTTGGATCCCCACCTGTGGGCCAGGTCGGGGTCACTGGGGAGGCAACCAATTGATGTGTGTCTCTCCCATTGATGTTTCTCTCCCTCCCTTCCTTCCACTCTCTCTCTCAAAAAAAAAGAAGTCAATAGAAAAATAACCTAAGGTAAGGATTAACAACAAAGTATTGCATTAGAATAGAATATGGTTTATCCTGGTCACTGAAGGTTTGGTGCCCCCTTAACATCTCTACTTGAACCCAGTGCCTCATTCCCCTTCCCCATGTTCCAGCCCCAGTTTTCTCACCTTTAGTCCCTCCCCTTCAACTTTGTGTCCAGCCCAGGGCCACACCAGCCCCCTGGGCTCCCACTCTGACCCCTCTATGCAGAGAATGGGGTAGAAAGAGCCAGGAAGGCGGACGGGTCAAGCGTGCTAGAGGTGGTCAGCACCAGGGTCAGGCCCCCAGAGCTGGGCTGAGAGGAAGCGGGACCCAAGGCTGGGGCGGGAGTGGGGTCTCACATTGCAGGCGTTGGTCTTCGAGTCTTTGATGCCGGCACATAGCATGGATGCCCCCAGCAGGTCCTTGTAAACCTTTTTGCAGTCCTGGGAGGAGATGAGCCTGACAGTCGTACACATGAGCTGTGATGGGAAGGTCACTGTGGAGGGGATAGTGCTGGTCAGTCAGAGGCCTGGAGAGCCCTGGGTGCCGATGGGGAGAAAAGGTGGGCCCTGGACCTTGAACTAAGAAGGGGCTGTGGGGCTCAATGCTATGGGCATGAAAAAGGACATACGTCCTGGCCTCCTGGGTCTGGGGAACAAGGCGCTGGGACCTGAACTCCTGGTTCTGAGGGAGGAAGGGGCGCATGGCCAGGGCTGTAGGTCCCTGAGCAGCCTCACCATCAGGGCTAGTGATGGTGCCCCAGCCAGAAACGGTACAACTGGTCCCGGGCGGAGCGCAGCGGAAGGGCAGGTGGGCCTTCTTCACAGTGGATGACAGCTTGGCGGGGCGGCTGAGCTTCACGAGCATGAGGTCATTGACGTGGGTCTGTGTGGAGTAGCCAGGGTGGACGAATGACTCTGTGGCGCTGATCTTCTGACCTTTATTACTGTTCAGCTTGTCACTGCCCATGTACGCATTGTACTCACTGGGAGAGGAGAGACATTCAGAGAAAGACACTGTCACCGGGACAGGGGGACAGACACCCAGAGAGGAGAGGGGGACAGGAATGCGGAGATGAGGGGACGGGGATCCTGAGGGAGAGCTGGAGTCCCCGGGGCCCCCCTGCCACGTGCCTCATCTTGCAGTGGGCGGCGGTGAGCACCCATTGCTCGTCCACCAGCACCCCTCCACAGTGCAGTTCATCGCCTTTGAGCAGGGCCACCTGCCAGGGGTGAGAGCCTCTGAGACATGGAACGCCATCAATAATTCTGTCCCCGGACTCCTTTTCTGGATAGAGACATGGAGAAACACGTCAGTGGCGAGCCTCCAGGCAAAGCTGAGGAATCAGCTTTGCAGAGACAGACAGAAGAGCAGAGAGAAGGGCAGAGGCAGAAACCGAGCACAGTGCAGAGAAAGCTGCAGACAGAGATGGAGAGAGACGGAGGGAGCGAGCTCAGAAACCCAGCACAGCCTCCAGTCTGGAGGCAACCCCAGAAGCTGATGGGAGACACACCGAGGGCCGGAAGCAGCCTGGAGGGCACACAGTTCCCCAGAGTCAGGAGGAAGCAGGAAGAAAGGGGCCACAGCAGAGGGGCCGGGTCTCCGTGGCAGGAAGCTGCTGCCGGAGGAGGGGTCCTGACTCAGGGACACCTTGGAGAGAGGGGGCCTGCACAGGAGAAGTCAGAACACTGTTCGGTCCAGGCGCAAGGTCAGGACTCAGTCCAGCCATTACCTGCTTGTCTAGCAGAGCCCAGGGCTGAGGCCAGCAGTAGGGTCAGCAGGGGCGGGAGCAGGGGACCTGCCATGTGGTCTCTCTGGGCTTCTATGGGCTGCCACTCAGAGGAAGGGCCTCTTCTGCTGGGGTTGGAAAGACAAAGAGTTTAGGGAACAGGAATCCTGGTCCCTAGACCCTTCTCTGCCCTCAGACCCAGGAGCTCCAGTCTGTACCCACCTCCTCCCTCTGACCCAGGAGTCCTAGTCTGCACCCACCTCCTCCTTCTGACCCAGGAGTCCTAGTCTGCACCCACCTCCTCCCTCAGACCCAGGAGTCCTAGTCTGCACCCACCTCCTCCCTCTGACCCAGGAGCTCCAGTCTGTACCCATCTCCTCCCTCAGACCCAGGAGTCCTAGTCTGCACCCACCTCCTCCCTCAGACCCAGAGTCCTAGTCTGCACCCACCTCCTCCCTCTGACCCAGGAGTCCTAGTCTGCACCCACCCCCTCCCTCAGACCCAGGAGTCCTAGTCTGTACCCACCTCCTCCCTCAGACTCAGGAGTCCTAGTCTGTACCCACCTCCTCCCTCTGACCCAGGAGTCCTAGTCTGCACCCACCTCCTCCCTCTGACCCAGGAGCTCCAGTCTGTACCCACCTCCTCCCTCTGACCCAGGAGTCCTAGTCTGCACCCACCTCCTCCCTCAGACCCAGGAGTCCTACCTAGTCTGCACCCACCTCCTCCCTCTGACCCAGGAGCTCCAGTGTACCAACCTCCTCCCTCAGACCCAGGAGTCCTTGTCTGCACCCACCTCCTCCCTCTGACCCAGGAGTCCTAGTCTGCACCCACCTCCTCCCTCTGACCCAGGAGTCCTACTCTGCACCCACCTCCTCCCTCAGACCCAGGAGTCCTAGTCTGTACCCACCTCCTCCCTCAGACTCAGGAGTCCTAGTCTGCACCCACCTCCTCCCTCTGACCCAGGAGTCCTTGTCTGCACCCACCTCCTCCTTCTGACCCAGGAGTCCTTGTCTGCACCCACCTCCTCCTTCTGACCCAGGAGTCCTTGTCTGCACCCACCTCCTCCTTCTGACCCAGGAGTCCTTGTCTGCACCCACCTCCTCCTTCTGACCCAGGAGTCCTAGTCTGCACCCACCTCCTCCCTCAGACCCAGAGTCCTAGTCTGCACCCACCTCCTCCCTCAGACCCAGAGTCCTAGTCTGCACCCACCTCCTCCCTCAGACCCAGAGTCCTAGTCTGCACCCACCTCCTCCCTCAGACCCAGGAGTCCTAGTCTGCACCCACCTCCTCCCTCTGACCCAGGAGTCCTAGTCTGCACCCACCTCCTCCCTCAGACCCAGGAGTCCTAGTCTGCACCCACCTCCTCCCTCAGACCCAGGAGTCCTAGTCTGCACCCACCTCCTCCCTCTGACCCAGGAGTCCTAGTCTGCACCCACCTCCTCCCTCAGACCCAGGAGTCCTAGTCTGCACCCACCTCCTCCCTCTGACCCAGGAGTCCTAGTCTGCACCCACCTCCTCCCTCAGACTCAGGAGTCCTAGTCTGCACCCACCTCCTCCCTCAGACCCAGGAGTCCTAGTCTGCACCCACCTCCTCCCTCTGACCCAGGAGTCCTTGTCTGCACCCACCTCCTCCCTCTGACCCAGGAGTCCTAGTCTGCACCCACCTCCTCCCTCAGACCCAGGAGTCCTAGTCTGCACCCACCTCCTCCCTCAGACCCAGGAGTCCTAGTCTGCACCCACCTCCTCCCTCAGACCCAGAGTCCTAGTCTGTACCTACCTCCTCCTCAGACCCAGGAGTCCTAGTCTGCACCCACCTCCTCCCTCAGACCCAGTCGCCTTCTTCCTCAGCCTCCTTCTGCCTTAGACCCCAAAACTTTGCTCTCTTGACACATCCTCTGACTCAGGTTTTAGACCCCCAGACTCCCTTCTTCTGGGAACCCAAGAATCTGGCCTCCTACCCCACTGCATTCATTAGTCTGTATCCTCAGTTTCCTTTCTCTGAGACCCTAAAATTCCACCTCCAGCTTCTCATGTCTCAGAACCAGGCCTTCGGACCTCCCCCACACCCCTCCCCTCAGGAGCAGGAGTCAGCTGTCCAGCCAGCCTCACCTCCTGCCCCCAAAGGGCCCCTCTCACCTGCGGTGGGTCTGCTCTGATCTGGGCTCCAGACTAGGTTGGGAGCTAAGCCTGTCAGGCCCTGTGCTGGGTGGCCTCTTATAGCACACTGGCCCCCGCCCCCGCGCCCTGCATCCTGGGGTGCAGGTGGAGCCCGCTCTGAGACGCCCCCTTCCTGAATTTGCAGTTATCTGATACCCCTGAGGCAGCTAAAGCAATAGTCCTGCACTCAGCCTCCGCCCTCCACCCCGAGGCTGTGTGGGGGTGGTTCTCAGCTGGTTCGCCCCCGCACATTCTGGCCCGGTGGCAGCTACCCAGGGAGGGACCGGGTGCTGGCGCTGAGGGACAGGAGCAGGAGTCAAGGACCTGCACAACTCAGGAGTGGACTGTGTCCTGGGTCCTTCAATGTGACCATTGTTCTTGCCCTCAGCCCCTCTCAGGGGTGGCCTAGACCCTACACCCGAACTCTGAGTTCCCTGTGGGAACTTGTCCAGGCTGAATCCCAGATGGGACTTAGAGCCCGAATCCCTAATATAGGGGTACGGATGAGAAAGGGAAGGCTTTCCTACTTCCACCCACTGAATGCTTACTGCCATCACTTGGTCTGTGTCTCATATTACACATAGATTTCTATACACAATATATCTTTAAAAAAATTTTTTTATTGATTGATTTGTTTTTGTTACAGATGTTTCTCATTTTTCCCCCATTGACACCCTCCTCCCCTTCCCCCCACACTCCCCCATCCCCAGCTTTGTTGTCTATGTTTATTGGTCATGCATACATGCAGGTAAGTTCTGTGGTTTATCTCTTCCCCCACAAACCCCCCTCCTCTGAGGCTTGTCAGTCTGTACCCCACCTCCATGTCTCTGGGTTAATTTTGTTCAGCAGTTGGTTTAGTTCATTACATTCCACAAATAAGTGAGATCATGTGACATTTGTCTTTCTCTGCTTGGCTTGTTTCGCTTACCATAATACTCTCCAGGTCCTTCCATGCCATCTCAAAGGGTAGGAGATCTTTCTTTCTTACAGCTGCATAGTATTCCATTGTGGACATGTACCACAGCTTTTTTATTTACTCATCTACTGACGGACACTTGAGTTGTTCATACTATGTCTTTTTAACAAAAATATCTATAGTAATTATTATTTAATGTAAACTTTTCTATTTCTTTATAAAGTACTCTGAACATTTTTTCCTCTTTGTATATTTATATTATTTCTCCTTTATTAATACTGTTGTGTAATATTTCACATTATGGTGTTATTCTAATTCACGTGATCTGTTTCACATTGAAGTATATTTGAATAGTTTTCATGTTAATAAATGTGGGATGAATTTCTCTGAATATTCATCTTTGTTCATTGTATTCATTCAAAAAATAGCCACTGAGCATTTACTCTGAGCCAGAAAGTATTCTGGCCTCTGAGGACACAGCATCAGCAAAACAGCAAACATTTCTTCACAGAGGCTCTAGTTCCAGTGGGTGGGGACCTTGTTCAGCAAAATAAAAGTTTAAAATGTGTACTTTGTTTTTTGTCTTTATTTCTTTTTCTTTTTTTTTTTTATCCTCACCCGAGGATATTTTTCCATTTTTTGTACAGATAGAGTGGGAGGGAGAGAGAGAGAGAAACATCGACGTGAAGGGACACATCGAGTGGCTGCCACCCGCACGGCCAACCAGGGCCGGGGACAAACTGCAACTGAAGTACGTGCCCTTAGCGGGAACCGAACCCGGGTCTCTCAGGACCGCAGGCCGACGCTCTAACCGCTGAGCCAAACTGGCCAGGGCTGTCTTCATTTCTTACATTTATTGGGGTGGCACTGGTTAATGAGCTTATACAGTGTGGGGCAACAGGAGGTTTACAGTTGTTCGTATGGAAAATAATACAGTAATGAGTAAATAATAATACAAGAATAAACTCTGTATTTTGTGTGTCCACAACTGTAAACCTGATTTTGTCCCACTCTGTATAGGTTTCAAGTGTACATTTCTAGGATACATGATGTGTATATTGCACTGTGTGCCCACCACCCAAAGTCAAATCATCTTCTATTACCATATATTTGACCCCTTTTACCCTTTACTGTCCCCCACCCACTTCCCTCTGGTAGCCACCATACTGTTGTCTGTATCTATGAGTTTTTGTTTGTTTTTTTCTTGTTTGTATGAGTTCTTTATATATTTTGGATATTAACGCCTTGTCGGACCCGTTGTTTGCAAATATCTTCTCTATTTGGTTGGTTGCCTTTCTGTTCTCTTGGTGGTTTATTTTCCTGTGCAGAGCTTTATAGTTTGATATAGCCCCATTGATTTATTTTGGCTTTTACCTCCCTTACCTTTGAGATCAAATTAAGAAAATCTTCTCTAATACCTAGGTTCGTAAGTTTCTTACCTATGCTTTCTTCTAGGTAATTGCTTCGGGTCTTACATTTAAGTCTTTGAACGATTTTGAGTGAATTGTTTTGTATATGGGGACAGGTGGCCAGTTAAGTGCTATGAAGATAAATAAGACCAGAAAGATGGATAGGGAATTACTGGTCCTCTCCCCTCTCGGGGACTTGTGGGGTTATAGTGTCAGATAAGACCACTCGAAAGACTCCATGTGAAGAGGATATTTGAATGTTGAAGAAGGAAGTGGATGGATTCATGTAGCTATTTGGGAGCAGTGATTTCCAGGCAGAGTGAACAGACAGGTGAGAAGGAAAGAGGCAACCTAGAATGTTCTAGCAGAGAAGGTTTTTTGACTGGCTCTGAATGAGTTAAAGGGAGGAAGGCAGGCAATGAGGTCAGAGATATCACAGGACTTGGATGACTCAGGGACTGAGGACCAAGGTGGGACTTGGGCTTGACTGTGAGCAAGACAGAAACCATAGTCAGATTACTACTGGACAGTCCATGCCTGTTAGAGGAAGCGAACCTCACTTGTAAGTCAGACCCCAAATTATAATGAATTTCT